GTAATGTTACTGCACACGCTATCCAAGTGTTTTAAATCTCACTACATAGAGACAACATCCTCTCACCCACTACAGTAACAATTACAGCATTCATGCCTCGCAACAAAAGGGACAAATATTTATAAATACAATACAAACATCTATTTGTGGATATCGTTTAAATTAAATAATTTCTTTAAACATTAAAATTTAAAAAAACTTGTTTTCTCTTGTCTTTTTCGACTCGTTAAATTATGCAAGTGTCTGAATGATGTTACAAAATATTATATAAAACATCAAGTAAGAGAATTATCAAATTAATAAATGTATATCAATCACATTCATAAACTTCAGAAATAAGCATACTCCCCAAATGCATAATTTCACTGGCAGGCTGAATCATCTGGAACCAACCACTCATTAGCTGAATAAAAATAAACTCAAACTACATGTTTCAAAAACATGATAAACAACAGCAACTGTGAACAAGAAAAAAGTCATGAACAATAGAAAAAAAAAAAATTTAAACCGAAACAAATAACAGTTGTAGTAACCAAAAAGCTAACTAGTTCCATTGCCATTACTGTTGCGATGTTCCAATGGATTGCGGAGACACTCTGAGCTGGGGGATCCTGGGATATCAGAGCCGTACAGTTTGCTGGCTTTTTTATTCATGGTGGCTAAAATTTGTGCAGACGTGTTAAAACCCTGAATGATTTCATCTTTCCACTGATTTATCAATACTTTGTCCTGCAAAAATCACAGAAATTTATCAATAACTGGTCCTGCAAAAAAAATCACAGAAATTTATCAATACTTTGTCCTGCAAAAGCGACAGAAATTTACAAACAGTAACTTAACAAGTTGCTACATTATCCTTATTTACACATCGGGAGCAGCCTAGTAATATGATTATTTGCTAAAACTTGTCAAGATGTTTCAAAACACAGTGCCATAAAACACAAACTCACCAGCCTCCACCACACACAATTAGAGAACATCCCCTCACAAACCCAAAAGAAAAAAAAAACAAAAAAAAAAACCACACACACATGCACCCGTGCACAAACGCACGCACGCACACACACACAAAACATCCCCTCACAAACCCAAGAGCCTCCACCCCATACATACACAAACACAGAGAACATCCCCTCACAAACCCAAGAGCCACACACACCCACAAACAGAACATCCCTTCACAAACCCAAGAGCCACACACAAACAGAACATCCCTTCACAAACCCAAGAGCCTCCACCAAATACACACACACAAACAGACAGAAAATCCCCTCACAAACCCAAGAGCCTCCACTCACTCACACACACACACACACAGAGAGAGAGAGAGAGAGAGAGAGAGAGAGAGAGAGAGAGAGAGAGAGAGAGAGAGAGAGAGAGAGAGGGAGGGAGAGAGAGCATCCCCTCACAAACCCAAGAGCCTCCACCATACACACACACCTCCAAGAGCCTTCACAAATCACAAACAGAATATGCCCACGCAAAACCAAGAGCCTTCACCAGGCACACACAGAAAACACCCCCCCCCCCCACCCCAACACACACATGTACCGCACACACAAATACACACACACACAATATGCCCATACAAACCTAACGAACATAGAGAACATCCCAACACAAACCCACCGGTGATGTAATGACAATCTTGTCTGACTTGAGGTTCAGGACGATGCAGTTCTCCATCTTCTGGTACCTCTGAAACTCTGGAACTACTTCTTTGATGTCCAGCATGGAGTACAGCTGTAAACAGAAACATGCAATCATAGAGTACAGCTGTGAACAGAGACATTCAATCATAGAGTACAGCTGTAAACAGAGACATTCAATCATAGAGTACAGCTGTAAACAGAGACATTCAATCATAGAGTACAGCTGTAAACAGAAACATGCAATCATAGAGTACAGCTGTGAACAGAGACATTCAATCATAGAGTACAGCTGTAAACAGAGACATTCAATCATAGAGTACAGCTGTAAACAGAGACATTCAATCATAGAGTACAGCTGTGAACAGACATTCAATCATAAAGTACAGCTGTAAACAGAGACATTCAAACATAGAGTACTGCTGTAAACAGAGACATTCAATCATAGACTACAACTGTGAACAGAGACATTCAACCATAGAGTACAGGTGTAAACAGAGTCATTTAACCATAGAGTACAAGTGTGAACAGAGACATTGGATCATAGAGTACAGCTGTGAACAGAGACATTCGATCATAGAGTACAGCTGTGAACAGAGACATTCGATCATAGAGTACAGCTGTGAATAGAGACATTCAATCATAGAGTACAGCTGTGAACAGAGACATTCAATTATAGAGTACAGCTGTAAACAGAGACATTCAATCATAGAGTACAGCTGTGACAGAGACATTCAATCATAGAGTATAGCTGTGAACAGAGACATTAAATCATAGAGTACAGCTGTAAACAGAGACATTAAATCATAGAGTACAACTGTGAACAGAGACATTCAATCATAGAGTACAGCTATAAACAGAGACATTCGATCATAGAGTACAACTGTGAACAGAGACATTCAATCATAGATTACAGCTGTGAACAGAGACATTTGATCATAGTGTACAGCTGTGAACAGAGACATTCGATCATAGAGTACAGCTGTGACAGAGACATTCAATCATAGAGTGCAGCTGTGAATAGAGACATTCAATCACAGAGTACAGCTGTGAACAGAGACATTCAATCATAGAGTACAGCTGTAAACAGAGACATTCAATCATAGAGTACAGCTGTGACAGAAACATTAAATCATAGAGTACAGCTGTGAACAGAGACATTAAATCATTGAGTACAGCTGTAAACAGAGACATTTAATCATAGAGTACAGCTGTGAACAGAGACATTCAGTCATAGAGTACAGCTGGGAACAGAGCTATTCAATCAAAGAGTACAGCTGTGAACAAAGACGTTCAACCATAGAGTACAGTGTTAACAGAGACATTCAATCATAGAGTACAGCTGTGAACAGAGACATTCGATCATAGAGTACAACTGTGAACAGAGACATTTAATTATGGTCTACAGCTGTAACAGTGATGTTCAACCATAGAGTACAGTGGTGACAGTGACATTCAATCATGGTCTACAGCTGTGACAGTGATGTTCAACCATAGAGTACAGTGGTGACAGAGACATATTTAATTATGGTCTACAGCTGTGACAGTTACGTTCAACCATAGAGTACAGTGGTGACAGAGACATTTTATTATGGTCTACAGCTGTAACAGTGATGTTCAACCATAGAGTACAGTGGTGACAGTGATGTTCAACCATAGAGTACAGTGGTGAAAGAGATATATTTAATTATGGTCTACAGCTGTGACAATGACATTCAACCATAGAGTACAGTGGTGACAGTGACATTCAATCATGGTCTACAGCTGTGACACTGACGTTTAATCATAGAGTACAGTGGTGACAGTGACGTTCAATCACGGTCTACAGCTGTGACAGTGACGTTCAACCATAGAGTACAGTGACGACAGAGAGATTCAATCATGGTCTATGTGACAGAGACATTCAATTATGAACTACAGCTATGACAGAGACATTCAATTATGAACTACAGCTATGACAGAGACATTCAGTATCAAGCAGGAGATCAGGGCCAAAGAATCAAGGTACTGCAGCCATAGTGGCACAGCTGCTTGTTAAATAGGTTGTTGGAGGGAATATTTAGGGGGGGGGGGTGGAGGGGAGGAGGAGTGTCAAGGTAAGAAGATGTTACAAGTGAGGGAACAACATTAAAAGACAGACCAGAAGAAAAAGTCAAGGCAACCCCATATCAGATATTGCCACTGGTCCTAAAATGAAAACCACTTTAAGAACTAGAAGATGCAAGTATTTAATGCAGCATCAGCACAGAGTACAGGCACTCATATGCAGACTTTTGTTTTAAATTCAAGGTTTCATGCAAACCTTTCTTTAGGTGAGGGAATTAATCAATAAATATAACAGAAGCAAAAGATTAACTGAATTAACTGCTTTTCTTCACTCTAACAAATAATGGGTGGAGGAGTTTTCTTATCTAAGCCACAGGGCTAAGTGAGTGAGTACCAAGCATCAGTCCGTCAACATTGCAGGGAATCACGTGGATATACTGTCCAGGATATGCAGGAGTGTAAGGGAATGAAAGAGCAGATTTTCTTGCTACAAAAGTGATAGCTATGGGAACACTCCTACTGGACAAGGCAGACATTCAAATATAAATGTATGCTGATAGAAGATACGAGGTTAGATAAAACAACATGTGTGAGAATGAGTGAACTAAGAATCAGGAGGAGATCCAGCAAGGACGGGCAAATGAGAGGAAGAGAATGGCATGTGTGTAATTAATATGCTATGGCAGGGTTATTCAACTGGTGGCCTGTGGGCCAAATCTGGCCCGCGGAGGCCTAGCGAGTGGCCCGCTGATCAATGCCAGTTGTTTTATATCAATGATCTTTCTATGCTGGAACTTCGGCTTCTTCCCTGTGACAATAACGGTTTTCCAACATTTGGCCCCTGAGTAAACTTAGTTAGCTCTGCGCTATGGGAACAGTCACCATCTACACCTTAAGACACTAGCTACGGGAGACGGAGCATCTATGGGTATACCCAGTGTGCTAAGATGTTGATTCTGAAACCAGTAAACCAGTCGGAAAGCCACAGAGAGCAAAGTGGTGTTATTAGGAGATTGTTATGACATAATAATGACAGGACAATTTTTACAAAAGCAAATCCCCCCCCCCCCCCCCCCCCCCCAATATCTCAGTTCTCCCCCATTATCTATCGTCATAGCAACCGTGTCAGCAGAATACGTAGTTATAACCAGTAATAAATCTGTTGTACAGGCCTGGTAACCATGTATAAAGTCTCAAAATGGCATTCTCAGATCAACGGGTTTAAACTATCCTACAATGTGGTGGTGACACATGACACGATGATGATGATGAACATAAAATAAAAGCAGCACAAACAGGAATTACCTCGACACCCTTTCCCTTGGGCACAGAGCCATCTCTGGCCTTCTGGTAAAACTCCAGCCTATTTGGGTAGAGCTTGAGGTGTTTCTTGGCCCAGGACTGGTTGAATGACCCCACCAACTTGAGAACCTCTCCCTCGACAATACAGTCTGTAGGACCTGCTAGACATGTAGACACAACACATTTACTGCCTCAACATTGTGCTGCCTCTTTGATGTTGAAAATGTTACCGAGTAATATTACTTGTATGTATCCACGATGACCAACATATTGACTGATGTTCGATCATGAGAGGTAACTTGCAGCGGTCTGTGTCTCGACGTTTGTCTGTCTGTTCTAATCTCAACAGTCTACACAGTAAACTGCCAGTGATTCTGAATTCAGGAAGGTTGGCCTCGCTGTTGCACAGTATATTTGTGAATGAAAGCTGCGATGGCACACTGGCTAGGACACTTGTCTGCCAGCCCAATGGTCAAGAGTTCGAACGGCCATCAAAGCAGTCATGAAGAGTGGACCGTACCATACTGACATCACCACCAGCAGACCCACTGGCAATAAGGCCAGGAATGAGGCTTCTGTTGCTCGTCAGTCTACAGACTGGCAGCTACAACCTGTGAGCCAGTTAGCCTCGCCCCGTGGTATGAACCATCTTCTGTACCTTCAACGGAAAGCCTTCAATCATAGCGTCATATTTTTTTAAAAATTACCTATTTGTTTTGTTTCTCAATTCTTGTATAACCTTCTATGCAATAAATGCAGTTTTTAAAACATCTGAGCAGAAATGTAATGAGAAACAAATTATTGAGCCATGACAATTTTTATCTGTTAATACATCCAGGAAAATCTTAGATCACAGCTTAGATACTTAGATGATACAGCCTTGCTGGCCTTTAACCATGTGTCACACATTACTCAGTGAGAATCAAACTTTTTATTTAACTGAAGGAAAAACCCACAAGAAGCAACAAAACAAAACCAAAATAAATGTCCACAGATAAAAGCACATGCCAAGCAGAGATTACAATCAACAATGAAGAAATGTTGCAAACTGCAAACATCCTGGCTATAATTAATAACGTGGCAACAAAGTGGATAGAAGCAGCCACCTGAATAAACTTAGCTCCCAGGTTGAGAAACGTTTAAAAAGAATGGGTATCCGGTAAAGTCCTGGGAAGAAAAGGTGACCGGTATGATGTTGACCATCCCAGCCCTCTACGGCTTATGGGGTCATGAAACTGTGAGTCTAGCACCATATGCTCAAAACTTCAGTGGCATGAAAGAAAGAGACCTTGACCTTCTTAGACCTGTTATGTTATTACAGTCCGTGTCACTGCATACTGGGCATTCCCATGCATGCTCAGTCCTCCTATGCAGAAGCCACTCAAAGGTACCTTTAATAATTGTTCCCATAAGAAGCTGGAGGTAACATCTCCTGTCTTGACCTTGAAGAAGGCATTGACATGCTTCACCAAGCTTTATTCTCAGGTCAGGCAATCATGTTAGCACCACACATCCATCATTAACCCCCAGCCTAGTCCACACAGCGTTGATGATAACAGCTCTGTCCATGCTTCTTCTGGTTTGCTTTGTACATTACTTGCCAGCTGGTCAGTCTTTCATCACCCTTTACTCCTGCACTTACTTTACTTGATTAAAGTCACAGGTACTTGGTTGGTTATAAACAATATAAAGTTATTCAGGTGAGGAATGGTAAAAGCCACAACTAAAACAAAAATCATGACAGCAAAAAGCAACTAAAAAGATTACAGTGTAAAAACTCACATAAGGAAAGATTATTTCATGGCAATGTACACGTAACAAACAGGATGTGCTATATAGTAACACTAGTTTTATTGCTGCACCTAAAACAACATGCTATCAAACTACTTTCCAGATTTAAAAAAAAAATTTGCTTTAACAAAACCAGCTTCAATTCAAGACTTCAAAGTAAGACGGGCCTGCGTGCCCAATTTGTGACCCATTAAAAATAAAGTTTGTTGATTCGTTCGACCTGAAAGGCTACGCTATAATAATAGTTTCAACACTATACTGAACAAAATGTGCTACAAACTAAACAAAGAGAATACTACACCTTACAAAATGTACTATAACAATGATAGCTCCAATACTACACCTTACAAAATGTACTATAATACTACACCGACCCTTTCAGATTCGAAATGGAGTAAAGCAAGGATGTGTTCTGGCTGCCACGCTGTTTGGCATCTTTTTTACTGCATTATTGAGGCGTGCATTTGGGACAGCAACTGAGGGGATATACCTCCGTTCGAGGTCAGATGGCAATCTTTTTAATCTGTCCAGGCTACGTGCAAGGACGAAGGTGCACACGAGATGCCTCAGGGATTTTCTGTTTGCGGATGATGCAGCCATTGTGGCACATTCAGAGGATGATCTGCAGATCCTAATGAATCGCTTTGCAAATGCTTGCAAAGAGAGTCTGGTCAAACAATAAGCTAACTGATAATTCAAAAATAAAGGTTTATGAGTCTTGTGTCCTGAGCACATTACTGTACGGCTGCGAATCCTGGACTCTCTATGCTCCACAGGAAAAAAGACTGAATACCTTCCATATGCGCTGTCTGAGACGCATCCTTGGTATATTATGGCGAGACCTTGTCTCCAACGAATGTGTGCTCACAAGAGCAAAAATACCATCAATGTATTGTATTCTGAAGCAAAGACGTCTGCGCTGGCTGGGACATGTCTCCCGCATGGAGGATGGTCGTATTCCAAAAGATCTCCTATATGGTGAATTGGTAAATAGACCTACAGGAAGGCCAAAGCTGCGCTATAAAGATGTATGCAAACGTAACCTAATAGATACCAACATAGGTACAGAGACATGGGAAAAATCAGCTGCAGATCGACTACTATGGAGACAGAAAGTGAAAGACGGACTGTCGCATTTTGAAAAAAAATGAACACAACGAGCTGTGGAGAGGAGGCACCGGAGAGTAAAACTGCCTCACAACGAGGGCGTATCTGCTTTTGTGTGTATCCTGTGTGGCAAAGACTGCCATTCCCGCATTGGACTTTACAGTCACAGCAGATGCTGTTCCCAAAGCCAGCGGTACATCTCCATAGTCCCCCGGGACTGACGGATGCCATTATGTACTACACCTTACAAAATGTGCTATAACAATGATAGCTCCAATACTACACCTTACAAAATGTGCTATAACAATGATAGCTCCAATACTACACCTTACAAAATGTGCAATAACAACACTAGCTCTGAAATTACACCTTAGAGAATGTGCCATAACAACACTAGATCTGAAACTACACCTTAGAGAATGTGCTGTAACAACACTAGCTTCAATACTACACCTTAAAGAATGTGCTATAACAACACTAGCTCCAACACTACACCTTAAAGAATGTGCCATAACAATACTACACCTTGGAGAATATGCTATAACAACACTAGCTCCAGCACTACACCTTAGAGAATGTGCTAAAAACAACATTAGCTCCAACACTACACCTTACAGAATGTGCTATAACAACACTAGCTTCAACACCACACCTTATAGAATGTGCTATGATAACACTACACCTTTTAGAATTTGCTAAAACAACACTCGCTCCAAAACTACACATTAGAAAATGTGCTATAATAACACTACACCTTACATAAAGTGCTATAATGACATTAGCTTCAACATTTCACCTTACAGAATGTGCTATAACAACACTAGCTCCAAAACTATACCTTACAGAATGTTCTATCACCACATAACTTAGAGAATGTGCTATAACAACACTAGCTCTAACACTACACCTTAGAGAATGTGCTATAACAACATTAGCTCTAACATTACACCTTAGAGAATGTGCTATAACAACATTAGCTCTAACACTACACCTTAGAGAATCTGCTATAACAACATTAGCTCTAACACTACACCTTAGAGAATGTGCTATAACAACATTAGCATTAACACTACACCTTAGAGAATGTGCTATAACAACATTAGCTCTAACACTACACCTTAGAGAATGTGCTATAACAACATTAGCTCTAACACTACACCTTAGAGAATGTGCTATAACAACATTACCATTAACACTACACCTTAGAAAAAGTGCTATAACAACATTAGCTCTAACACTACACCTTAGAGAATGTGCTATAACAACAATAGCTCTAACACTACACCTTAGAGAATGTGCTATAACAACATTACCATTAACACTACACCTTAGAAAAAGTGCTATAACAACATTAGCTCTAACACTACACCTTAGAGAATGTGCTATAACAATAGCTCTAACACTACACCTTAGAGAATGTGCTATAACAACATTAGCTCTAACACTACACCTTAGAGAATGTGCTATAACAACATTAGCATTAACACTACACCTTAGAAAAAGTGCTATAACAACATTAGCTCTAACATTACACCTTAGAGAATGTGCTATAACAACATTAGCTCTAACACTACACCTTAGAGAATGTGCTATAACAACATTAGCTCTAACACTACACCTTAGAGAATGCTACTTGTCCACATAATTGTCCAGTACCTATATTTAAGGACATGTAAACCCTGGAGGATGGCACTGACCAGGGTCCAGTTGCCGCCACTGTTGGCACTGGACTGCTGTGTTGGTCAACTTCTTATACTACATAAACAACTATACGCCCAATAAATGTATTTGAAACTGCATGGAAACAAAACAAAAAAAGTGTATCCGAGTAAAAGAGTACAAATAAAACAATTGAAATAAACAATCAAAGGAATAAGAACTGTCAGTAAAACAACACATTTAGTCATTATTGTTCAAAACTACACATCTGTGGTACCACCCACTCAATCAAAAACTGTTGCTAGAACACAATTACTCATTCAGCTATTCCTCTGTTCAATTACCATTCCATCCATTTATCTATTCACACAGCTACTTATCTGTTCATCGATAAAAAGACTCTTTCAACATCTACCCATGAACTCATCCATCCACTAACTGACCTCCCAGGACTGGATCCCTCCGCCCACTGACCACCCAGAAACGGACCCTTCCGACCACTAACTGACCCAACCTTTGCATCAACACATGAATTCAACAATTTACCAGACCTGCCTCATTTATTTACACAATAAACATTAACTTATGTTTTTTGACACACCAGCCGACAATCTATTCATCTGCCTGCAGGATAAAAGCATACATATATATTCACATAAACACTCACTCAACTTTCTTCCTTTTCCCCCAATCTATCTTTCACAATCTGCACCCATCAGTACACAGTTACAAAGACATATACACAAACACACACATTGCACAGAAAACACAGATTGTAATCAACATCACACCAAGGAAAGATAACAACAATCTATCACATAAGCATGAACTCTTCTTTCTGTTCTGTTTACATACAGAAATCAGAGAGAATTTTGGCTTCACTCGGTGTCAATCCTTGGTCTGGTTTATAGGCATTTACTAGAAACATGTCTGACTTCACCGCACTGGGTTTCATACCATACAGATGGGACAGTCCATGCAGGGTGAATGACTGCCTGCCTGCAGACAGGGTTGCACAAAGGATGATCACTGTAGCTCCAGCTACAATGATGTCCAAAACATCCAAATTAGCAAACTAAATAATGGAATCTGAACTCACAACCTACAAAGCTACAAGTAAACAGCTTTATTAAGTGACCACAGAGATTCACTTCCCCCGTACTGGGCAATGTTAGAGTTTTATATCCATAAAGAAAGACAAAACCCTCAGTTTCAACAGGTCTCTGTGTGTTACCAGGCAATTTCTAGCTGCCCTTCAACTTCAGCATTTACTGACAAAAGGGAGCAACTATGGGAGAGAGTTAGTGGTAGGCTTGGCACTCTGTAGGCTGCAAGCTCAGTTCACCAGTTTAGGTGTTTGAGAGATCCTAGAAGAGTTGGAAATTTGGGGGTGGGGGTGGGGGGGGGGGCAGCAGTGATGGATCTACAGACTTTTCTGCAACCCTCTCAAGAGGCAAATGACCAGTCTGCAGAGACACTGAGAATTCTGGGATGAAACCTGGTGATTAAAAAGTCAATACTCTTTATCTTTAAATAACTTTTAAAATTCTTTCCGAAAGTAACGACTCACTGCTTTAGGACAGAGCTCTTCAACAAAGTCTACCCAGGGGCCAAAATGTTGGAAGACAGGGGTCGTCACGGGCCAAAGGCAAAAGCCCCAGCACAGAAAGATCATTATTACAATATAACTGCCAGGTGATTCCTGGGCCACTCGCTAGACCTCCGCGGGCCACTCGCTAGCCACCTGCTAGACCTCTCCGGGCTGACAGTTGAATAGCCCTGTTCTAGGAGGCACTGCTGGCTAAATTCTATAGAAGAGTTCATGCAGTAGACATCACTGTACAATACTGACCACACACAGACAACAACAACAACACACAGACACAATGTTACATGCTACAAGATATCACATCCAAGCAAATATACTGAAGAAAACTACCAAAATCTGAAAAACAAAAGAAAGACAGAAAATCATGCACTAATGTGACAAAATAATTGGTCTACTATAAGGTTTAAAAAAATTATCAATAAAAAAATCATTTAACAAAAATTCCAAAAATAATGTGTTAGTTGCATACACAAATATATTGTAAGCTGTGTGTCCTCTTGAGGACCTTGCAAACCAAATTCAGTATTCCCTGACTGTTTGTAGCTTGTCTAGACATTTTACCTTTAGCAATTTGCCACTGTTTTACAACACTCATACCATTTTGAAAATCAATGCAAAACTTCTGCTATCATAACAGCTCACTGCTGGCTTTAAAACCCTGGAATATCGGGATTGTTAAACTGAGAATGGGGAAGCAGAATTAGACCACTAGAGTGAAGAGAGCATGGAGCAACAGGCAGTCACCAGGAGATCTGGCCGACACCCTAAACTAACATGACAGGCAGTCACCAGGAGATCTGGCCGACACCCTAAACTAACATGACAGGCAGTCACCAGGAGATCTGTGCCGACACCCTAAACTAACATGACAGGCAGTCACCAGGAGATCTGTGCCGACACCCTATACTAACATGACAGGCAGTCACCAGGAGATCTGTGCCGACACCCTATACTAACATGACAGGCAGTCACCAGGAGATCTGGCCGACACCCTAAACTAACATGACAGGCAGTCACCAGGAGATCTGTGCCGACACCCTAAACTAACATGACAGGCAGTCACCAGGAGATCTGTGCCGACACCCTAAACTAACATGACAGGCAGTCACCAGGAGATCTGTGCCGACACCCTATACTACATGACAACATGAGATCAGGCAGTCACCATGAGATCTGTGCCGACGACCCTATACTAACATGACAGGCAGTCACCAGGAGATCTGTGCCGACACCCTAAACTAACATGACAGGCAGTCACCAGGAGATCTGTGCCGACACCCTAAACTAACATGACAGGCAGTCACCAGGAGATCTGTGCCGACACCCTAAACTAACATGACAGGCAGTCACCAGGAGATCTGTGCCGACACCCTAAAACTAACATGACAGGCAGTCACCAGGAGATCTGTGCCGACACCCTATACTAACATGACAGGCAGTCACCAGGAGATCTGTGCCGACACCCTATACTAACATGACAGGCAGTCACCCAGGAGATCTGTGCCGACACCCTAAACTAACATGACAGGCAGTCACCAGGAGATCTGTGCCGACACCCTAAACTAACATGACAGGCAGTCACCAGGAGATCTGTGCCGACACCCTATACTAACATGACAGGCAGTCACCAGGAGATCTGTGCCGACACCCTATACTAACATGACAGGCAGTCACCAGGAGATCTGTGCCGACACCCAGGCATACCACTAACATGACAGGCAGTCACCAGGAGATCTGTGTGCCGACACCCTATACTAACATGACAGGCAGTCACCAGGAGATCTGTGCCGACACCCTATACTAACATGACAGGCAGTCACCAGAGATCTGTGCCGACACCCTATACTAACATGACAGGCAGTCACCAGGAGATCTGTGCCGACACCCTAAACTAACATGACAGGCAGTCACCAGGAGATCTGTGCCGACACCCTAAACTAACATGACAGGCAGTCACCAGGAGATCTGTGCCGACACCCTATACTAACATGACAGGCAGTCACCAGGAGATCTGTGCCGACACCCTAAACTAACATGACAGGCAGTCACCAGGAGATCTGTGCCGACACCCTAAACTAACATGACAGGCAGTCACCAGGAGATCTGTGCCGACACCCTAAACTAACATGACAGGCAGTCACCAGGAGATCTGTGCCGACACCCTAAACTAACATGACAGGCAGTCACCAGGAGATCTGTGCCGACACCCTACACTAACATGACAGGCAGTCACCAGGAGATCTGTGCCGACACCCTATACTAACATGACAGGCAGTCACCAGGAGATCTGGCCGACACCCTAAACTAACATGACAGGCAGTCACCAGGAGATCTGTGCCGACACCCTAAACTAACATGACAGGCAGTCACCAGGAGATCTGTGCCGACACCCTATACTAATATGACAGGCAGTCACCAGGAGATCTGTGCCGACACCCTATACTAACATGACAGGCAGTCACCAGGAGATCTGTGCCGACACCCTAAACTAACATGACAGGCAGTCACCAGGAGATCTGTGCCGACACCCTAAACTAACATGACAGGCAGTCACCAGGAGATCTATGCCGACACCCTAAACTAACATGACAGGCAGTCACCAGGAGATCTGGCCGACACCCTAAACTAACATGACAGGCAGTCACCAGGAGATCTGGCCGACACCCTATACTAACATGACAGGCAGTCACCAGGAGATCTGTGCCGACACCCTATACTAACATGACAGGCAGTCACCAGGAGATCTGTGCCGACACCCTAAACTAACATGACAGGCAGTCATCAGGAGATCTGTGCCGACACCCTATACTAACATGACAGGCAGTCACCAGGAGATCTGGCCGACACCCTAAACTAACATGACAGGCAGTCACCAGGAGATCTGTGCCGACACCCTAAACTAACATGACAGGCAGTCACCAGGAGATCTGTGCCGACACCCTATACTAACATGACAGGCAGTCAACAGGAGATCTGTGCCGACACCCTAAACTAACATGACAGGCAGTCATCAGGAGATCTGTGCCGACACCCTAAACTAACATGACAGGCAGTCACCAGGAGATCTGTGCCGACACCCTAAACTAACATGACAGGCAGTCACCAGGAGATCTGTGCCGACACCCTAAACTAACATGACAGGCAGTCACCAGGAGATCTGTGCCGACACCCTATACTAACATGACAGGCAGTCACCAGGAGATCTGTGCCGACACCCTATACTAACATGACAGGCAGTCACCAGGAGATCTGTGCCGACACCTTAAACTAACATGACAGGCAGTCACCAGGAGATCTGTGCCGACACCCTAAACTAACATGACAGGCAGTCATCAGGAGATCTGTGCCGACACCCTAAACTAACATGACAGGCAGTCACCAGGAGATCTGTGCCGACACCCTATACTAACATGACAGGCAGTCACGAGGTGATCTGTGCCGACACCCTAAACTAACATGACAGGCAGTCACCAGGAGATCTGGCCGACACCCTATACTAACATGACAGCAGTCACCAGGAGATCTGGCCGACACCCTATACTAACATGACAGGCAGTCACCAGGAGATCTGTCCTGACACCCTATACTAACATGACAGGCAGTCACCAGGAGATCTGTGCCGACACCCTAAACTAACATGACAGGCAGTCACCAGGAGATCTGTGCCGACACCTTAAACTAACATGACAGGCAGTCACCAGGAGATCTGTGCCGACACCCTAAACTAACATGACAGGCAGTCATCAGGAGATCTGTGCCGACACCCTAAACTAACATGACAGGCAGTCACCAGGAGATCTGTGCCGACACCCTATACTAACATGACAGGCAGTCACGAGGTGATCTGTGCCGACACCCTAAACTAACATGACAGGCAGTCACCAGGAGATCTGGCCGACACCCTATACTAACATGACAGCAGTCACCAGGAGATCTGGCCGACACCCTATACTAACATGACAGGCAGTCACCAGGAGATCTGTCCTGACACCCTATACTAACATGACAGGCAGTCACCAGGAGATCTGTGCCGACACCCTAAACTAACATGACAGGCAGTCACCATGAGATCTGTGCCGACACCCTATACTAACATGACAGGCAGTCACCAGGAGATCTGGCCGACACCCTAAACTAACATGACAGGCAGTCACGAGGAGATCTGTGCCGACACCCTATACTAACATGACAGGCAGTCACCAGGAGATCTGTGCCGACACCCTATACTAACATGATAGGCAGTCACCAGGAGATCTGTGCCGACACCCTATACTAACATGACAGGCAGTCACCAGGAGATCTGTGCCGACACCCCATACTAACATGACAGGCAGTCACCAGGAGATCTGTGCCGACACCCTATACTAACATGACAGGCAGTCACCAGGAGATCTGGCCGACACCCTATACTAACATGACAGGCAGTCACCAGGAGATCTGTGCCGACACCCTATACTAACATGACAGGCAGTCACCAGGAGATCTGTGCTGACACCCTATACTAACATGACAGGCAGTCACCAGGAGATCTGTGCCGACACCCTAAACTAACATGACAGGCAGTCACCAGGAGATCTGGCCGACACCCTACACTAACATGACAGGCAGTCACCAGGAGATCTGGCCGACACCCTATACTAACATGACAGGCAGTCACCAGGAGATCTGGCCGACACCCTATACTAACATGACAGGCAGTCACCAGGAGATCTGGCCGACACCCTATACTAACATGACAGGCAGACGTTTGAACAAACGGCTAACAGTACTATCAACACCAGAACTCACAGTTGGCTGCTGAAGATGGGGACATAGTGCTTACAGGAATATCCTCAGTGCTATGATGTCAGTGCAACTCCAAGCAACTCCCAGGCCACAGACAGAAAAAAAGAATAGCCTAAATCATGACTTCTATGCGGACTAGTAACCGACCACATTTGGTTTTTTTTTAATATTACATTATGAGCCGAACACTTCATTCCTCTGTTGCTTCCTAAATCTTCAACTTTCAGCTAAGTCATCTACGAGCACTGATACAGTTTTGTACGAATGAATCAATCAATTAAGAATTGGCATCACCACATTTCAGACCTTCCCACATGTGCTCCGCCTCCTGCCTCAGCAGCCCAAGAAGCATGCTAATAATGCAATTTTGTGGCTTGGTTTAACAAACCAGCTCTCTATTGATTTGCCTGTTAAAAATTAGATTTGTGCTGTTTATCTCCCAATAGAACAAAACCCTCAAATTACCCATGCCTAGTTGTCTGTACAGTTCTGACCTGGAACAAGTTAGGAAATTTAAATATCTAAGAAGTATGACCCCTGAAGATGGCAGAATCGACAGAGAAACAGAAAGCAGATCATTTATGCACCAACTGTTACCATTATTAGGACATCAAAATAAGTGGGGGGAAAGGGGGGGGGGGGGGGGGGGGGGGGGGGGAGAGAGAATTGAAGCCAAAAAAAAATATATATTTTATAAACAGCATATCTATCAGTGTCAAACATGAGCATGTCTAAAGCCTATCTAGGAAAAATCACCACCTGCAAGATGAGATGCCTGAGAAAATCCACCAACCTAATCTTCCAAGATCAAGTGAATAAGGATACTATCAGACAGACTGTGGAAACAACCTCTTGTACTAGATTCATCGAGAACGCAGATCAAGTGATTTGACCATGTCATTAGAATGCAGCAACATCAAACACCATCACAGGTACCCAATATGAGATCAGCTACAAGAGCAAGCTGCTGGCCACAAAATATTATGGATCGACAACTTTAAAGATACTTTTCGCCTTTATGACATGACTATAGTCGATGCCAGCCATTTTGCACTGGACAGCAAATTATTTGTCAACCCAACGAGTAATGACAGCAGTGGTTTCTGATATAGAGTTGCTGTAGCATCTGCCACAAACATTTCCACTGAAGAGCTGTAGTCTGATGACTCCTGTCTAGGTGCTGTCTAAGCAGTCAATGGTTGGATGCTGAAGCTAGTTTTTTTTTTTTTTTTACAGTTGGTTAGTATTATGATTTATTATATGCATGTTAGGTCAGTCACTTTTCTTCACTTCCTGGATTTTACTGTGTCGGCTGGTCAAACTTAGCCATAAGGCATGCCTAGAATTCACACTATACCAGGTCAAAATTCACAGTACTGGCTGGTCAGAATTTATCATGAGGGCAGGCCAAAATTCACAATATGGGCTGGTCAGAATTTATCATAAAGGCAGGCCAAAATTCACAGTATGGGGTGGTCAGAATTCACCATGAGGGATTTCCAGAATTCACAGAATGAGCTGGTGAGAATTCTCGAAGTGAACCGGTCGCAATTTTTATATAAGCTTCCAGACTGAAGATGTGGACTGTTAGAATTCAAAGGCTCACCAGAGTTCACCTCACAAGCTGGCCAGTGGCCAGAGCTCATCTCACAAGCTAGCCAGAGTTCACCTCACCAAAGTTCACCTCACAAGCTGGCCAGAGTTCACCTCACAAGCTGACCAGAGTTCATCTCACAAGCTAGCCAGAGTTCACCTCACCAAAGTTCACCTCACAAGCTGGCCAGAGCTCATCTCACAAGCTAGCCAGAGTTCACCTCACCAAAGTTCACCTCACAAGCTGGCCAGAGTTCACCTCACAAGCTGGCCAGAGTTCACCTCACAAGCTGGCCAAAGTTCACCTCACAAGCTGGCCAGAGTTCACCTCACAAGCTGGCCAGAGTTTACCTCACAAGCTCATAAGAGTTCACCTCACAAGCTGGTCAGAGTTCACCTCACAAGCTAGCCAGAGTTCATCTCATAAGCTGACCAGAGTTCACCTCACAAGCTGACCAGAGTTCACCTCACAAGCTGGCCAGAGTTAACCTCACAAGCTGGCTAGAGTTCACCTCACAAGCTGGCCAGAGTTCACCTCACAAGCTGGCCAGAGTTAACCTCACAAGCTGGCCTGAGTTCACCTCACAAGCTGGTCAGAGTTCACCTCACAAGCTAGCCAGAGTTCACCTCATAAGCTGACCAGAGTTCACCTCACAAGCTGGCCAGAGTTCACCTCACAAGCTGGCCAGAGTTCACTCACAAGCTGACCAGAGTTCACCTAACAAGCTGGCCAAAGTTCACCTCACAAGCTGGCCAGAGTTTACCTCACAAGCTGGCCAGAATTCATCTTAAATAAATAAATTCCCAAGAATAATAAAATAAAACTGGATGATCGCAGTGCGAAATAACAGTAACAGTGCACCACTTAATCTGAGAGCAGACAGTACATTCTTCAATATCAAAGCAGGCAGTGCTTTTCTAAATCTCAGGCAATGCATTGCCAAATCTCAGACAGTGAATATCTAAATCACAGACAATGCGTTTCTAAACCTCAGATATGGCATTTCTAAATCTCACACGGTGCATTCCTAAATCTCAGACAGTGCATTCCTAAATCTCAGATATGGCATTTCTAAATCTCAGACAGTGCATTCCTAAATCTCAGACAGTGCATTTCTAAATCTCAGACAGTGCATTCCTAAATCTCAGGACTAACAGTAAAAGTAAAGTAAAGGAACCCTTTCCGCCGGAGCTTACAGCCAGTGAACAACCAGGACTTTCCGCCGGAGCTAACAACTGGTGAAAAAAGAAGAAGAAGATATGCCCAATAGGCTTGAAGCAGAAAGTCCTAGTTGTTCCCCAGCTATAAGCTCCAGCAGAAAGTCCTGGTCATTCACGGGCTGTAAGCTCTGACGGAAAGTATTGGTTGTTTGTCCATTTGGACTTTGTGTCAGGGCCAAATTTCTGCGTTCACATCCATTTTACTGGCTTATTTGTGTGCAGTTGGTTGTTCTTTGCCACTTGGGCAGATTCACTCCGACTCTGAATGAAGCTTCTAGTTAGTCGACTCTTAAGACATGGGTGCATTTTACGTTGCCTGGGGCAGGATGAGAGTGACTTTCCTTGCCATTCATAAATCACTGTGTCACAGGGCTTGTCCTATGTTGCTTGGGTGTCACGCATTTTTTTTTTTTAAGCAGGGAAATCCATTTTTGTTTTTCCTTTAATGGGGCTCTAGAACCCACACTGGAAGGACAGTATGGACATACAGTGCTAGACTTATATTTTACAGACCACTCGGCATTCAGTGAGTGACGTAGTCAACATCATCTGGATACCTTTACTTTCTAGGACTTTACCTGGTACTCGTTTAATGCTGGGTCAACCTGGGAGCCAAAAATCCTTTTTTTAAAGTCCATCAGAGAAGATAGTGCATTGCTAAATCCTAAAATAGACAAGAGTTCTCTCCCCATTCCTGAGAAGACAATGGCTTGGGAAAGCCAGGGACAGACAGCAAATTCAAAGACTGGAGCCCAAACAACAAACCTACCCAGGTCGACTTCATCGCCTTTTGGCTTCTGCTTGCGTTTCTGCTCCAGCTTGTCTGTGTCAGCGTTGACTGTCTCGAAGACTGTGTCGGCAACCTCGTGCTGCCAGCGTTCTGACACAACCAGAGGGAAGTTTCTGTACAAGTCCTGGTCGGCTTCTGTCAACTGAATTCAGATACAGTAACCATTAACTTGTGACAGCAGTAACATAGTTATTTGCAATTGATAGTTTAGTCTAGTAACCATTTATCATGACAGCAGTAACAAAGCTATATGCAACAGATTGGTCCAGTAATCATTTACTGTGACAGTAGTAACAAAGCTATATGCAACAGATTGGTCCAGTAATAATTTACTGTGACAGTAGTAACATAGCTATATGCAATAGATAGTTTGGTCCAGTAACCATTTACCATAACAGCAGTAACATAGCTATATACAATAAACAGTTTAGTTCAATAACCATTTACCATGACAGCAGTAACATAGCTATATGCAACACACAGTTTGGTTCCGTAACCATTTACCATGACATCAGTAACATAGCAATGAGCAACATAAATTTTGGTCCAGTAATCATTTACTATGACAGCAAAAAGACAGCTCTGTTTAACAAAAAGTTTGGTATATCAACTTTTTTTTTAATCATTAACAGGAGTGGGAAAAAAATGACTGTTCAGGGCAAAACCAGATGTACTAGAACCTTCTTTCATTTGCCCAAAGAGCAAAGACCTTTATCTGCTGCCAAGGCATTAGTCGTCCAAGAAGAGCGGATTACGTGGGTCAAACTCTCTACAGGCAAGACAGCTGACCTTATGTCTCTTATGTCACGCATGCTTCCCTCCTGCACCCCAGTCACCATGTGTGACCAAGCGAGACAGGACTGTTGTCAGTAAAGACACTGTGCAGCTGCATGGAGTGACAAACAGCTGGTGCCACCTTTGGATCCCCTGGATCACCACTCTTCCCTCTGCGGGATGGTAAGAGTAACAGATGATAATAATGAGAGGTCATTACCTTAATTCCTTTTGTATCTTCCTCGTCAAAAGAACCAATATCAAAGGCATCTGCTGCATTGACCTCGCCCTTGGGTGGAATCAGAGGAGGGGTATATTTCTGGAGATAGACCTGTACCCAGTCTAGGCCTCTGAAGAATGGATGTTCCTTGACTTCCTGGGCCCTGGAGACAGATGACAGATAACAGTTACACTGTAGACAGATAACAGACAACAGTTACACTGTAGACAGATGACAGACAACACAGTGGAGACAGATGACAGACAACAGTTACACTGGAGACAGATGACAGACAACCGTTACAATGGAGACATATGACAGACAACAGTTACACTGTAGACAGATGACAGACAACAGTTACACTGGAGACAGATGACAGACAAACGTTACAATGGAGACATAACAGACAACAGTTACACTGTAGACAGATGACAGACAACAGTTACACTGTAGACAGATGACAGACAACAGTTACACTGTAGACAGATGACAGACAACAGTTACACTGTAGACAGATGACAGACAACAGTTACACTGTAGACAGATGACAGATAACAGTTACACTGTAGACAGATAAGACAACAGTTACACTGTAGACAGATGACAGTTACACTGGAGACAGATGACAGACTACAGTTACACTGTAGACAGATAACAGACAACAGTTACACTGTAAACAGATGACAGACAATAGTTACACTGGAGACAGATGACAGACAACAGTTACACTGGAGACAGATGACAGACAACCGTTACACTGGAGACAGATGACAGACAACAGTTACACTGGAGATAGATGACAGACAACAGTTACACTGTAGACAGATAACAGACAACAGTTACAGTGGAGACAGATGACAGACAACCGTTACACTGGAGACAGATGACAGACAACAGTTACACTGGAGACAGATGACAGACAACCGTTACGCTGGAGACAGATGACAGACAACAGTTACACTGGAGACAGATGACAGACAACAGTTACACTGGAGACAGATGAGGATTAATCACAGAGATGAATGGAGGCGGGTGATATCTGCATCCCTCTACCACTTACCTTCTGTCCCAACAATCTAACCGGTCCTCCCCATCAGTTACCCTTTACCCTGGCAATCTAACCGGTCCTCCACATCACTTACCATGTGCCCCGACAATCTAATCGGTCTTCCAAACCACTTACCCTCTGAACCGACAATCTAACCAATTCTCCACATCACTTAAACTCTGCCCTTGACAACCTAAAAGGTCCTCCACCACTTATCCTCTGCCCTGACAACCTAACCGGCCTTGCAACACTTACTTTCTGCCCTGACAACCTAACCGGCCCTGCAACACTTACTTTCTGCCCTGACAACCTAACCGGCCCTGCAACACTTACTTTCTGCCCTGACAACCTAACCGGCCCTGCAACACTTACTTTCTGCCCTGACAACCTAACCGGCCCTGCAACACTTACTTTCTGCCCTGACAACCTAACCGGCCCTGCAACACTTACTTTCTGCCCTGACAACCTAACCGGCCCTGCAACACTTAACTTTCTGCCCTGACAACCTAACCGGCCCTGCAACACTTACTTTCTGCCCTGAAAACCTAACCGGTCCTCTACATCCCTCCAACACTTACTCTCTGCCCCGACAGCCCAACCGGTCCTCCGACACTTACCCTCTGCCCCGACAGCCCAACCGGTCCTCCACATCCCTCCGCAACAACCCCTCCAGTAATGTCTTCATCTCTATGGACATGGACTCTGGTAAATCAACATTCTGAAAATGGAAGAATATTTATCCAATCAAATCACAGCGTCTGGCAAGTCATGCTGTACTCTTTCAGTCAGTCAATCTTCTCCTTCTTCAATTTTACATAAACTAGAAGTACATGCCAGGAAACTAGATGTTTGCTAGATAAAAATGTATGTACCCAGTATATAACATAAACTAGATGTTTGCTAGATAACTATGCTTGTACTCATTATGTACAACATAAACTATAAGTATTTGCTAAATTACCTTGTATGTACCAAATATATAACATAAACTAGATGTTTGCTAGATACCCTGTACGTACCCAGTATACAACATAAATTAGATGTATTTGCTAGATAACCAAGTACGTACCCAGTATACAACATAAACTAGATGTTCGCTAGATAACCATGTATATACCCAGTATACAACATAAATTAGATGTATTTGCTAGATAACCAAGTACGTACCCAAGTACGTACCCAGCATACAACATAAACTAGATGTTTGCTAGATAACCATGTACGGACCCAGTATACATCACAAAATAGATGTTTGCTAGATAACCATGTATGGACCCACTATCTATATATATAAAAATCAATGTTTGTGTGTTTGTTTATGAGCTTTAGACTCGGAAACTACTGAACCGATTTAGCTGAAATTTCAGGATGTGTTTGTTTTGATACCGGATGTTCACCCATCATGGTTTGAAATTCAACCTGCCATTGTTAGAGATAGTGTGCGACAATTTTTGGGAAAATCTTCGAAACTAATATTTACATTTTTAGTGACAGTTAATTATAGCCACGTTAGTAAATGCGCATGCGCCGTAGTCAGAACGCAAGATTTCCACCATTCGCCGGCGAGATACGTACAGCCAACGCCTTCTCTAATAACTAGAGTAGGTTGTGGTACAGCAAACAAGACTATCTCTATATCTGTGCAGGCAATGATTGCCACAATAACCATATTAAACACGATTTCTATTTTCTGTTTTTTTTTTCCAACAACCTTCGATGAGTTGGAAAGTAGCCGATGGATTGGAAGGGAAAGGGGGGGGGGGGGGGGGGGGGGGGGGGGGGGTGGGGCGGCATCAAGGCCTATCTCGACATCGGTGCAGACCTTGACTGCGACATTAACCGTGTTAGACACGTGTGATTTCTATTGTTGTGCCGTTTCAATAATATATCTGGAATATCTGTCAATGAGAAAACAATTGCCTGCTGTTTTGAGTTGTATTATAATCAGGACACTGTAGTAGGGACACACATCTCAAATAGTTTTGTTCTCTTTTCGTTGCTACGAAGAAGTGGCTGCTTGGTCGAATTGTTAGAACACTGGGCTCCTGTCCGACCAGGGTTCGAATCCGCAGAATTTTTTTTTTTTTTTTTACCCGGGGCTCAAATAAAATCCTCACCTGCACTGTCGTGGGACAGCACTAGCCATGTGGCCCTTAATACTAAAAAAAAAAAAAAAGACAGGTATGTGGGTAAATCAGTTGATAATTAAATTTGACCATTTCGCATAGTTATGATTTCATTTTTAAACTTTACAATTGCATTTTTACGCTGAAATTTCATAGCTTTCCATTTATTTTCATTCAGATTTAATTATTTCATCTGCGTTGGAATTTTAAGCTGTGCTGTTTACCATAGCGTTCATTTCCTAATTATGGTGTATTTTTCCTCTTTTCATTTGCTTTTCCATTTTTTTTCTTCTCCCAACTACTTCAATGAGGGAAAGAGTAGTCGGTGAATTTGGGGGGTGCAAACTGATTACTGAGAGAGCTTTAAGTCACAGTAACTGCTTTACCCACTCAAAGTAGCAGCAACAGTAGTAGTTGTGGTTGGGCTGTTACACCGTAGTGCTCTCATTTGAAGACCGCGGGTAAGGTTATGGCGTTCTTCTGTCGGGAAGCGAAATTATACATCCTAACCTGACCAGTCCATGGCGACAGCACTAGCTATGCGGCACCAAATCTTATGGCTCACGACTCCCTGCCCATTCACTACCTATTACAATTCCTGCTCCACATTTTAGTTCGGATGGACAGGGATGTCAATGTCAGTTACAACAACAACAAAATATCGCCAGGTGATGATTTTCAAATCCTTCGAAGAGGGAGAAAGCAGTAGTCGGTGGAAGAGGGGAGAGGAGGTGTGTAATGACCTAAATTTAAGAGAACTTAAAGAGCTTTACACGTGATTTTCAAGTTCTCATTACTGAATTTGTTTATATTTTACTAAGGCTACCTCCGTTATTCAATTTTTGTTACGACTGACTTTGTTATTTACAAGTACAGCTGTAGCTTTACTTTCGTCTCCTAAAAAAATACAAACAGCTTTAGCATATGATAACCAAATAACTATTTTTGTTACTGTGCTAATAATACCATTTAAATGACCACTAATATAAAGACACAATTATATGGTGCATTATATAAAGTTGGAAAACCAGACTATCTCTATATCTGTGCAGAGAATGATTGCGACATTAACTATATTAGACACGAGCGATATCCACTGTCTTTCTTTTCCAAAAACCCTTGATGAGAGAGAGAGTAATAGGTTGATTTAGTTGTGGTGGGGGGGGGGGGGGGGGAATCAAAGACTATTTCTATATCTAAGCAGACAATGATTGTATTAGACACGTGCGATTTCTATTTTCTTTCATTTCCATTTAGCCAAACCATGCCACAGCAACGCATGGCCGGGTACAGCTAGTACAACATAAATTAGATGCATTTGCTAGTTAACCTATTAGTACCCAGTATACAACATAAACTAACCAAATGTATTGTAGAGTAGCTTGTACTGTAGTAAGAATCATGAATATTGTAGTTAGATCAAAATGAACTGTAGTTTTAAACTAAGACGTACCATTGTCATTGTCATGCGATCTATCTCGTGTTTATCTTTTGTCTTGTGTTGTCTGAACGGACTGTGCCTGGGGAAAGCAAAGAGCATGAATCAAAATTAACATCTAAATGCTTGCACATTTCCTCTGCTTTTAAATTACAAGGTCCAACTGGAAACTTGTGAGCATCAAAGCCATCTGAGATTGTTGCAACTGATTTTACTTTGCTTGAGAAAGACACTAAGGGATTAGAAAATGTTAACTACCGAAGGAGCATCGGCCCTCAAGTCACTCACATTAAAGTAATAAAGGAGCATCAGCCCTTAAGTAACTCACATAAAAGTAATAAAGGAGCATTGGCCCTTAAGTAACTCACATTAAAGTAATAAAGGAGCATCGGCCCTTAAGTAAATCACAATAATTTAATTAAGCACCTCAAGTTCATATTATCTAATCTGACATATTTCTGGTTCCCTGCTGACCTCGGCTGATGATGACTTGTCCACTGAGTTTTGAAGTCACTGTGTGTGTTGTATCTGGTTGATAAACACTTGCTTCGAAATAAGCTGACAATGTTTTTGTTCCAATTATTCATTTGTATCTGTGTGCATCTCTTCTGTCGGTGTCTGTGTCTTCGGTTTTGTGAACGCGCTTTGTAATGCCAGGATGCCGGTTTCTATCCCAGCTGCTGCTGATTTGTCTTGCGCTGGTCTCCACAGTGGTACAGAGAGCTGGCTGTTCAGAAAGCAATGGCAAACTACTGAAGGTAAAATTTACCTATAAAAACCAACAACCGAATAAAAGCTGGGGTTGGTTCTGCAATGTCCTGTAAAGGATAGGCAACTAACTCTAAACGTTTCTTCTATGAACTTTCTTGTCATACTTTCTGTTGTACTTCGCATTAAACATTTAACATTTACTAATTTTTTTGTTAGATTTCGCAGTTAAGGTTTTCTCCTGGTTGCCAGTCTGGTGCCAACGTTCTTTAGTGGTCTCGACAACATGTATAGTAGATTACAGTGTGATATTTGTCCCTTCCCTTGGGAGCCCCAAGGGTCACACATTTCTGGTCAGTATTTACACTGAAAGGTACAGCGTTGACCTCCAACTGGAGCAGCACATATGAAATGATTCAGTGTGGAGGGCAGGCTTATTATAAAACAATAGCAGCCCCCCCCCACCCCCCCCCCCCCCCCCCCCAATGGGTAGTGTATCAGACATGTCAATTCTTGGATAAGGACAGAAACTAGAAGATCCTGCCTGGACGTAAACACAAATTCCTCCGCCACTGCAAGGGGGAAAAAAGGTGGCCCAAAGAGGCCACTATTCAGACTCAACTGAAAACGAGAAAAGCTACCCAGAAAAAAATATTTATGGAAAGTATTTTTCGGGGACACACATCCTGATCCTCGGCAGAGTGGAGTCCTGTCAAGATGCTGAGGTCTTCATGGCATAATCTACTGGGCAAGACTGAGAATTTAACAAGGAATAACAAGGAATGTAATCATTTTGGAACATGCTGTGCTGCTCTTCCCAGTTGTTGATCCATATGACCAATGTCAGTTGACCAGTAACTAGCAAAAGAAGTAAGTAAAGAACCTTTTCCCCGACTGCAGGGGTACTGGGCATATAAGGCTAGAAATACATTTTATAGACTAATTGGCACTTGGTGGGTGATGTGGTCAGCATCACACTGGATGCCTTTACTTCCAAGGACTTTGCCTGGTACCCATTTAAGGCTGAGTCGACCAAAGGCCAAGGTAATTTTTTGGAGAGAAAAAAAAGGGGGAAAAAGTCCGGCTCAGTCAGAACCAGAACCCACAACCCCTGGGATCCACAGACGAGCATCTAACTGCTACACCATGGTGGCTCCCTAGTCACAGACTTGCAAATTCCAAAATGGTCATACAGATATGTAAGTGTAGATTATGTGAATGGGAGAAAAGGGGGGGGGGGGGGGGAGGGGGGGGTCGGGAGGGGGGGGGGGGGGGGGGAGAGAAACCAATCAAGAGAGCTCAATTCTTGAATTTTTCCAAAACATGTTATCTGCTGGGCTGCACACATGTGGCTGATCGGAAATGTGTCTGCTGGGATGTTTATCCAAAACTAAACAGGTGCCTTTTGAGATTTGCTAAAGAAGGTCAGAAAAATGATAAGTTTTATGTAAACAAAAGGATCATGTGGTTAAGCTCTGGCCTTGTGGAATGTACAGTGTAACATAGGCGGTGTGATCTGTGTATTTCAGCGGAAAGTACTCAGGTTTTGGAGCTTCATTATATGGTGATGTCAGTTCTGTAGCATGCATATGCCAAGATACAGCCAAACATGCCAGGCAACCAATTGTTTGTGTCTTCCATATTTACATTTACAATGTGTGGGGAAAAACATTTAAAAATCAAAAATTAAAAAAAAAAAGCCTATCTGAATGACAAGGAAAAAGGAACAATATTTTAAAGTTGACCAACAAAGGACAGCCATACCCCTTGAGGAGCTTGTAAAGCATACAGCCGAAGGAGAACCAATCAGCACTGGAGTCGTAGGCCGTCCCTTTCTGCAGAACTTCTGGGGCCATGTAGCCGTGGGTTCCCCTGTAATAATGTCTCGTGGTTAATTGTACAAGAGAAACATTTGCATAAATCTAGCATATCATCCAGACGTGAATAAGAAAAACAATATACTTAACAAACATCTTATGTTGCTACACAAACTAATCACTTCAAGGCTGTCTCATACATAAGTTTAGGTTGCAGTGCAGACACAGATGAGCAACTAGAGACATATAAACTAATTAATGCACGTCAATTTCTCATATAATTTAAATACCTGGGAAGTATCTTTACATCCAATGGTAAAATAGACAGAGAGATTGAAGCAAGAATCCAACAAGCCAACAATGTCGCATACCAGCTTGCCCCAATTTTAAAACACCCTGCTGTCCCAGCTGAGATAAAAAGACAAATTATAAATACAATCTTTATACCGACATTAGGTTATCAATGTCAGACTTGGACATTAACAAAAGAACATGAGAGAAGACTAACCACCTGTGAAATGAGATGTTTGAGAATGGCTGCGAATAAAACCAGAAGAGATCGAGTGAGAAACGATGTGATTACAAGAACTATTGGAACCATACCCATCGTTAAATTTATTGAGAAGCAAAGAATGAAATGGTTTGGTCACCCAATGAGAATGGAACCAACGATGCCAGCATCAAGAGCATACAACATGAAAATCGAAACAACAAGAGGCAGGGGAAGACCAAGAAGAAGATGGATTGAAGGAGTCATGGACAACTTGAGACTTCATAACATCACGGCATATGAAGCGACTGAGCGCGCCCTGGCTCGGTTGCCGATCATCTGATAGACTGCGACGCCTAGCGGCACAAGCAGATTTTGACAAAAGAAGAAGAAGAATTTCTCATATACTCACTTACTAGTGGACAAAGTTCGACAGATTTGGACAAATACACCAATAATTTATCCCTGGTAGTCCCCAGCAACACACGATGTGTGACAGACTCTTTTTTCTTGAATCTTAGCCATTACTTTATGTGCTTTTACAATCTGGCCTAGGCATTCTAAACAAAAATCTGGTTTCTTGAGTGGCCACTTTCACTGCTGTAATTTGGAAGTGAAAGATTCAATTCCTGATATGGTAACTTTAGCTGTTGAATGTTATGTTTCTAGACCGTGCTCCTAACTCTACTTCCTTCTAGGAATGCCAATCAACAGATGTTGATTTGTTTATTAAACTGCTCCTGTGGTTTTAATTAAGGGTCCAAATTTAACCATTAATTAGTTTGTATTTTTCATAGTGATTGCTTTTCCTGCTGAGAAAATGTTCTGGCCTGAAAGAGCTCAGACAGCAAACAAAAGCCTAGAAATGAACTTGAAATACTGAACTCCAACGGTACTGCTTGCATGGTTAGGAAAACATAGAGAATGCCTAAAACTATTACTTATCAACTATAAGTTGACATGTTCTGTAGTCTGCACACACACAGCCCACAAGGGCACAATGGTGAACTTACTTAGTTGAAGCCTGTGCATATGCTTGTTAAGTTTGTTGTGTCCTGTCCTGAGATGTACAATAATGACTTGCCCAAGCTGGTCAAATATGTGGTAGTCGTCTCTGACCATATTCTGTTCACTTCTGATAGACTGGATGAACCTTTTCTTCTCATAGTGGGTCACTGATCTCATCCTGCTCACATTATGTTCCTTGATATTATCATTTAGACAGATGGGTCAGTAATTCACCATGTAAGAAGCTCTTGGGCTTTTATGGCTCAGGTTGGAGTTAGAATTCTGAAACTAGATTCTGGTGCTGTTGCACTGACCACAAGTAGTCTAAGGGGGTCATGGCAGTGACCAAAGCAATAACATGGTTGGAGACACATTCTTTTTTCTGTGCATGCTTTCTCAGAGACTCCACGAGTTTGCACAGGAAGACCGAGAAGGGCTAGATTCGAAGACAGTGGGTGGAGTGTCTAAAGCGCTCGGGACTGATACATATTAGTTTCATCATAGTGCCAGGGTACGCCGGCGTGTAAGGAAATGAGCAAGCTGATTGGCTTGCAGGTAAAGCTACTGTGGAGGGTGGACAAGCCATGGACCATGCTGATATTCTGATGCACTATGAAAAGTAAGACTTTTGCGAGAACCGAGCAATGACTGTGAATCTGCAACCATGACCAGACTACAAGAACAACATGTTGAAAGGGGTGTGTCCAGACAAGAGCACTATGCAGGAAGCCAGAGAAGAATAAGAAACCAACACAGAACTGATGTCGTCAGCCGCTACACGCTGCGGGATTTACTAAGGCAGGGATCCAAGCACTTATGGGCTGAAAGGTTCGGTGAGGATAATCTGTCAACTTACTAACATTATGCCCCTTTCTTAGCAAGTTTATCAGTGGTTTTATTTCCTGGTATACCACAGTGGGAAGGCACCCATGGGAGTACAGTACACTTTTGGGCAGCCACCTTGCCAAGTTCAGATATCAGATGAGGGAGTTTACCACTCTTGAGGGCTTGGGGGCACCTATAGCGCATCTGTGAAGATGACCACGCAAATGACGCTGTTCAAACCCGACCAAACGGGTAATTTTAACAGAAATGACGCTGTTTAAACCCAACCAAACAATGAAGCAAATGACTCTGTTCAAATCCGACCAAACAGTTAATTCCAACTGAAATTACTGTGTTCAAACCCGACGGAACAAAGAATTATAACAGAAATTACAGGAAACTATAAAGCAAAAGATGCTGTTCAAACCTAAATAAACAGGAAATTGTAACAGAAATGACCTTGTTCAAACTAGACCGAAAAAGGATTTATAATGACAATGATCCTGTTCAAACCCAAATAAACGGAGAATTATAACGGAAATTACACTGTTCTTTCCCCCCCCCCCCCCCCCCCCCCACCCACCCCCCCCCCCCCCCCCACCCCCCCCCCCCCTCCCCCCCCCCCCCCCCCCCCCCCCCCCCCCCCCCCCCCCCCCCCCCCCCCCCCCCCCCACCCCCCCCCCCCCCCCCCCCCCCCCCCCCCCCCCCCCCCCCCCCCCCCCCCCCCCCTCTTCCCAACCCAGTCTGTACTTACACACTGGCATGTGGCTTTTTCTTGGAGAAATCACAGGCTAATCCCAGATCAGAGATTCGTACATGGCCGTTCTCGTCTAACAATATGTTTGCTGGCTGCAAATAACAAACACAAGTCAGAGGTATCAATAATAGCAGGCATAATAATAAAATGTCATCAGAAAAAGTTTAATCAGGAGGAGTAAGAGGAGGGGGAGGAGATGAAGATAATGATGACTGGAGAGACTGCTCACTTGATTACAGATATTTTCTTTCTTCTTCATGTTCTGGGGCATGGATCACAGAAGTGTCAGGAGACATGGATCACAGAAGTGTCAGGAGACATGAATCACAAAAGTGTCAGGAGATATGGATCACAAAAGTGTCAGGAGACATGGATCACAGAAGTGTCAGGAGACATGGATCACAGAAGTGTCAGGAGACATGGATCACAAAAGTGTCAGGAGACATGGATCACAAAAGTGTCAGGAGACATGGATCACAAAAGTGTCAGGAGACATGGATCACAAAAATGTCAGGAGACATGGATCACAAAAGTGTCAGGAGACATGGATCACAGAAGTGTCAGGAGACATGGATCACAGAAGTGTCAGGAGACATGATCACAGAAGTGTCAGGAGACATGGATCACAGAAGTGTCAGGAGACATGGATCACAGAAGTGTCAGGAGACATGGATCACAAAAGTGTCAGGAGACATGGATCACAGAAGTGTCAGGAGAGATGGATCACAAAAGTGTCAGGAGACATGGATCACAAAAGTGTCAGGAGACATGGATCACAGAAGTGTCAGGAGAGATGGATCACAGAAGTGTCAGGAGACATAGATCACAGAAGTGTCAGGAGACATGGATCACAAAAGTGTCAGGAGACATGGATCACAAAACTGTCAGGAGACATGGATCACAGAAGTGTCAGGAGACATGGATCACAGAAGTGTCAGGAGACATAGATCACAGAAGTGTCAGGAGACATGGATTACAGAAGTGTCAGGAGACATGGATCACAAAAGTGTCAGGAGACATGGATCACAGAAGTGTCTAAGGCATAAATCACAGAAGTGTCAGGAGACATGGATCACAGAAGTGTCAGGAGACATGGATCACAGAAGTGTCAGGAGACATGGATCACAAAAGTGTCAGGAGACATGGATCACAAAACTGTCAGGAGACATGGATCACAGAAGTGTCAGGAGACATGGATCACAGAAGTGTCAGGAGACATAGATCACAGAAGTGTCAGGAGACATGGATTACAGAAGTGTCAGGAGACATGGATCACAAAAGTGTCAGGAGACATGGATCACAGCGTTGCAAAACAAGGGTGACAGCAGTCAAGCTAATAACAACAAATTAATCCAGTGAACCGTGAACTGAAAGGGGGAAGCAGAATAATGTGCACAAAGCATACATCGACGTTTCGGCTGGAGCCTTTCTTGACATGAAGTAACTACACAACAATAACAAAGGGTAGATTACTCCAACCATGTGAAGGCTCTACAGGATCAAATGGACAGTGAAAAAGAACACAGTTAGGGAATCCATACAGTGAAAGAAAGACTAATTCAACATGGGATGAGTAGAGGTTGTGGATGATATTCAGCAATGAAAGGGAAACAGAGGTGGACTTTTAATCAGGTTGCAACTGGTGCTATTAGCATGTTAACTCTTCGCTGGCCTCACAACCATACCACCAGAATCCTTCACACACACCACAGACCTTTCACACAGAAAGGTCTAGAGAATCGCACAACTTTGACAACCAAATCAGCCGAGTCTGTCTATTACACACACATCGCCACACATTCTATCTTATCACACACACACCCACACATTCTAGCCTGTCTCCTGCATACACACCGACACATTCTAGCCTATCTCATATTCACACACACACACATTCTAGCCTATCACACACACACACACCCACCCAAACATTCTAGCCTATCTCACCCATTACCATTCCAACACATTCTATCTTATCAAACACACACCCACACATTCTAGCCTGTCTCCTGCATACACACTGACACATTCTAGCCTATCTCATATTCACACACACACACATTCTAGCCTATCTCACACACACACACCCACCCAAAAATTCTAGCCTATCTCACCCATACACATTCCCACACATTCTATCTTATCTCACACAAACACAGACACATTTTAGACTACTTAGCCCAGACACACACCCACACCTTCTAGCCTATCTCTAAAACACGACCCACCTTAAGGTCCCTGTAGACCACAAACCGGCTGTGCATATGCTCAAGGCCTAGCATGACTTCTGCAGCGTAGAACCGAACCTCCTTCTCTGTGAAGACCCCGTGCTGTGACAGGTGGTAGTGAAGATCACCTCCATTCATGAGGTCAAGGATGAAACACAGCTTCTCCGGTGTTTGAAATGCATATGTCATACAGACAATGAACGGACTGCCTTCCTACAATCAACATACAACAACAGTACTGCATCAATACATACTACAATACAGATACATACACACGGGATAAAAATTGAAACAACAACAAAATACAAATACACATGTCATAAACACAGTGAACAATTGCCTTTTAGCAAACAATAACAGAAAATCCTTGCTCTTCTTACTGCACCCACAGAAATAAAAATAATCATACATCATCTTATGTATTGTTTAGTTGTGAGACATTGTGCCTCTCGGGTGGACACATGGGACTAGTTCAGTTGTGAGACATTGTGCCTCTCGGGTGGACACATGGGACTAGTTCAGTTGTGAGACATTGTGCCTCTCGGGTGGACACATGGGACTAGTTCAGTAGTGAGACATTGTGCCTCTCGGGTGGACACATGGGACTAGTTCAGTTGTGAGATATTTTTCCTCTCGGTTGGACACATGGGACTAGTTCAGTTGTGAGACATTGTGCCTCTCATGTGGACACATGGGACTAGTTCAGTTGTGAGATATTGTGCCTCTCGGGTGAACACATGGGACTAGTTCAGTTGTGAGATATTGTGCCTCTCGGGTGGACACATGGGACTAGTTCAGTTGTGAGACATTGTGCCTCTCGGGTGGACACATGGGACTAGTTCAGTTGTGAGACATTGTGCCTCTCGTGTGGACACATGGGACTAGTTCAGTTGTGAGACAGTGTGCCTCGCGTGTGGACACATGGGACTAGTTCAGTTGTGAGACATTGTGCCTCTCATGTGGACACATGGGACTAGTTCAGTTGTGAGACATTGTGCCTCTCATGTGGACACATGGGACTAGTTCAGTTGTGAGACAGTGTGCCTCTCGGGTGGACACATGGGACTAGTTCAGTTGTGAGACAGTGTGCCTCTCGGGTGGACACATGGGACTAGTTCAGTTGTGAGACATTGTGCCTCTCATGTGGACACATGGGACTAGTTCAGTTGTGAGATATTGTGCCTCTCGGGTGGACACATGGGACTAGTTCAGTTGTGAGACATTGTGCCTCTCGGGTGGACACATGGGACAAGTTCAGTTGTGAGACATTGTGGCTCTCGGGTGGACACATGGGACTAGTTCAGTTGTGAGATATTGTGCCTCTCGGGTGGACACATGGGACTAGTTCAGTTGTGAGACATTGTGCCTCTCGGGTGGACACATGGGACAAGTTCAGTTGTGAGACATTGTGGCTCTCGGGTGGACACATGGGACTAGTTCAGTTGTGAGACATTGTGCCTCTCGGGTGGACACATGGGACTAGTTCAGTTGTGAGACAGTGTGCCTCTCGGGTGGACACATGGGACTAGTTCAGTTGTGAGACATTGTGCCTCTCATGTGGACACATGGGACTAGTTCAGTTGTGAGATATTGTGCCTCTCGGGTGGACACATGGGACTAGTTCAGTTGTGAGACATTGTGCCTCTCGGGTGGACACATGGGACAAGTTCAGTTGTGAGACATTGTGGCTCTCGGGTGGACACATGGGACTAGTTCAGTTGTGAGATATTGTGCCTCTCATGTGGACACATGGGACTAGTTCAGTTGTGAGACATTGTGCCTCTCATGTGGACACATGGGACTAGTTCAGTTGTGAGATATTGTGCCTCTCGGGTGGACACATGGGACTAGTTCAGTTGTGAGACATTGTGCCTCTCATGTGGACACATGGGACTAGTTCAGGCCTATGATAAGGTACCAGTGCTGACATTAGGTAATAAGGCTCTCCAGTGTGACACTGTTTAAGACAACCTACCTCTCCAGGCTGCAGCTACCGATGGGTGGAGCCAGCTAAACCTAGGGTATGGCTATCAGAAGTGCACATATCATGTGGGCTGACCGGCAATGTGTGCAGAGAAACACAGGTGTGTAAGCACAGTAACCGCTAGACAGGCAGTACAAGAACACTTGTCCATGAAGTCGCAAAGATGGATGGCAGAAGAAGAAAGGAAAACATAAAGACAGGAAAACAGAGAATCAAGCCAAAGAAAACATGGTAAAAACAACATCAACAGACACAAAGTTGAGATAGAGATAATTTTTTAAGACATAAAGTAGAAAAGAGAGAAAATTAACCCAAAAAAAATTAACATAAAGGGAAAGAATTAAAACATTAGAAAAAAAGAGGAGGAGAAAAAAACAGAGATAAAAGGGGAAAGGATTAGAACAGACGGATGTGATAAGAGAAAGAAAAAAAGAAACAAAATATAGAAGAAAAGTAAGAAGGACAGAAAGAAGAACAGAGACATGGCAGACAGTAAGGATCGAAAAAAATAGAGAGAGGATAAACGAAATAAAAAGGAAAGAACAGAAGAAACAGGAAACGGTAAAAGAGACACGACATGGATGAAATGAAGAAGGAAAAGAAAGACAGACAGAAACAAGAAAGTACAACGAGACGAGGAGACGGGTGGCAGAAATAAATTTAAAAAAAAAAAACGGAAGGAACAAGAGAGGTTGAAAAACAAAGAAAGAACAAAACAAAGACCTTGGAGAAGATTTCTCTCAGCTGACACACTGACGGCGCGCGCGCACACACACTCATTTAAAAGCTCGGTATGATCCCATTAGCAGGGAGAGGACAGACTAACGACTACAACAACAGACACTAATGGAACCCAAGTTTCCCCCCCCCCCCCCCACACACACACATGCTAATGGATTTGGGGGGAGAGGGGCGGGAGTTTGGACAATGAACAAAAGCTACCCACGCCACGACTCAGCCCGGCTTGTCTGCTCACGGAGACTTGGACAACAACTCATGTATTTTACCACAAGACCTAGTGCGCTGTTGTTGTTGTTGTTGCTGTTGTTGTTGTTGTTGTTGATGCAGTTGGCGACCTAGTGGTGAAGCCATCAGCCAGAGTTCTAAAAGTCGTGGATTCAGTTTCAGTCGTTCGTGAGTGCAGGTGTTTCATAAATCAATAGAGGTCGTCGCCGGAGCTATGGAGTTTCGATGGAGGAGCGGCCTTTAAAACTACAGCGCCTAACCCCTTTCAGATGGGGGAAGGGGGGGGGGACACGCCTGAAGAGTAAGATGAGGATCGACTGGCCGTTGACTGCAGCAAGAGCTAACAACCACAGGCAAGGGTGCACAGAAAGGCGGTGTATGGCAAACAGGGAACAAGACACAACAGCACCGGGGAAACATCGCACTATAAACATCTAAAAGGCGTTGAGCAAACTGGACAAGGGTAACCGCAGTGGCGAGGCTTGATCAATTTGCGCGTGTAAGCGCTGGCAGGAAACGATTACACTGGAGAGGGTTATAGCGTGACAATGTCCTCCTCGTCGCTCGGCTGCTGAGAAAATGAGTGCGCCGCTAGCATCGAAGTACTGGTAACTGGTAGATTTAACACACTGACAGTTTCTTTATGAGTGGCGTAAGCATGCAGCGAGCATTTAGACATGTCAATACTTTTAGCGGGCTTGACGAGGACGGCGAGACGCACGCCGAGTGACGTGTTTGTAATAAATAGAAAAACAGTAGTGATAAATAACAACATGACAGCAATGGAAACGATTACATTGGTTACATGGTCGCCTTGCTGGCCACTGGTTAACAGAACGCTTTCTGTGACAGAAAGCAATGGCAAACTACTGGACGTAAATTTGCCTAGTGAAACCCCACAGCAGCCAGGGGCTGAAGGGGTTGGTTCTGCAACGTCCTGTAAAGGGTACGCAACTAACCTTTTCTGTGGTAACTTGGTTCGTCTGATCAGCGCTACTGACAAACAGCTAGCCAGCCGATGCTATAGGGTCTGGAGCCCATGCTATTAAGTCTGGCCAGCCCATGCAATCAAGTATGCATCGAGTGTTTGCTCAATGCATTACTGACTGACTGTATACTATCTTACATTTCCGTGAGTGTCAATGATCAAGGCAAGAACAACACAAACAACACTCTTGCTGCAAGATCTCAACAACTGGCTTAAACAGTTATTTCATCGACAGATTATGCTCAATGCACATCGAACCACTCAATCCATAAGTGCTCGGGTCCCCTCCGCAGTCAATCCTGTGACGTGTAGAGGCTGACAACATCAGTTCCGTGTCGGTATTCAGTGCCGTGGATCAAACGAGGAAAACAGTGGCATCCTTTCTGCAAGATCTGAACAACCTGCTTGGTAAACAGTATGGAGTTTTCCACATTCAAACCACCATGGTTTTATTAAATGGTGCGGTGGTTTAGACACAACAGCCCTGTAAGACTGGGTAGCTTGAAGAAAAAGCAGGGGCCGACCACATGATGTTGCAGACGTGTAGCGTATGAAGGGCAGAAAGCCCGGCCACGGGCCGAGAGGTGTTAGAACCAACGCTAAAGACAGCAGACTGAATACGGGCAGTTTTGACCTCAATTCAACAGTTGCTGCTGTTACCCGGCCATCAGAATGATGAAGACCGCTTTCATCCAACATAATTCAATGAAAGTGACTTGCGCAAGGACTTGGATTTAAGTGAGGAAGAGCTGCGCAATTCGTCGACCTCACTTTCTCGCCTGTGTCCATCTTGATCCATTGGCACGACAATGTCGAGACGACTGGAAATGATGCAGTGGACGATCAAGGCGCCTTGAGTGCCTTGCCTTGATCAAAGCTCTCCACAGAGTTTGCTAGTAAACACCTTCTTGTCCCAGAAAAGGTTTCATACAACAGTAGTGATCATAAACAGGAGCACTGCGGGATTTCCCCCACCTCAAGGCCCTTGAGCACCCAGGTCCCAGTGCGAACGGTGACAACAGACAGGGGTCCAGCGCCGGTGCTTTGAGAGCCGCTGGTAGAATAGTGCCCCGTCCTCCATGCCCAGATACCCGGTTAATGCCCGCCCTCCATGCCCAGATACCCGTCGTTTAATGGCTTCTGCTGTTTTCATTACCTGAAAAATAACCAGGCCTGCATGCAACAATTTCTTCTCTATTGCATTATCAGAGGACATTTGGGGTGGGGGAACTCGAGCAGACGGATACTTCACACAGGGGCTTCCAGCGGTACACA